AATACAAAAAAATAAAACATTTTGTCTGTAAAAAAAAAAATAAAAAATAAAATAAAAGAGATATTTTCATATAAGGCAGGGTTTCTCAACCTTGCCACTATCATTTTGAAGCAGACAATTCTTTGTTGTGGGGTCCTGTGCTGTGCATTGTAGAAAGTGAAGGAGCATCCCTGGCCTCTACCCACAGATGCTAGGAGCACACCACTAATCTCACTGGTGACAACCAAAACTGTCTTCAGACACTGCTAAATGTACCTAATATGGGGGGAAGAATCAGCCTGTCCTTAAAACTATAAATCTAGGAAGAATGTTACCTTTTTTCTCCAAAAGAATGACTTTTATTTAACATAATTTTCTTATACCCTACCTTTAATCATCTCTAGATTTAAAAAAAAAAAAAAACCATATATATGTTGTTTTGGCGGCAGGCGCAGTGGCTTACACTTGTAATCTCAGCACTTTGGGAGACCGAGGCGGGCGGACCACCTGAGGTCGGAGTTCAAAACCAGACTGGCCAACATGGAGAACCCCCATCTCCTAAAAGTACAAAAATTAGCCAGACGTGGTGGCAAACGCCTGTAATCTCAGCTATTCAGGGGGCTGAGGCAGGAGAATCTCTTCAACCTGGGAGATAAAGGTTGCAGTGAGCCGAGATCATGCCACTGCATTCCAGTCTGAGTGACAGAGCAAGACTCCATCTAAAAAAATAAAAATAAATAAAGATAATTTTTTAAAAATGTTTTGAAGTTTATTGAGTGCTACTGGTTTGGTATTGTCCATCTTGCCTTTCCTCAATGAATCGAATTCTGTCATGCCTGAATTAGCCCAATTAATTTTATTAGCAAGCTCATATCCATTTATCACATTAACTTACCTCAGTGTCAAAGAATTCCCTATGGCCCACAGTTTCTAAATACGTCACACTTTCTCTCAAGAAATAGCTTGCACACTTGAGAAAGATGGTGGAACACTTGTGAACACACCTAGAAGGAAAATAATTTTAATGCTGTTGGCCAAAGAGCATTAATTTCTTTCTGAAAAAAATGTTCCATCTTCTATGGAGTGCTTGCACTTTGGACTAAAGAAGAATTAACAGAAAACTGGTTGTGTAAGAGAACAAAAATACAATTTAGAGGATTTCTTTTCTACCTAAAAATAGAATCCACCGAAATGAAGTCATAGGCTTTATTATAGTCAAATGTCATTGTTAACTTTTATATTAAGGGGTGGATAAAAAAATTGTTTAAAATATAATAAGTAGTTTCTCTGACTTGTAAATGATAAATACTTTCATGGAAAATTTGCCCATCTCACAAGGTTTCTGTGAGAACAAATGTTATAATAGATATGAAAGGGTTATGAGAACCATGAGCACAGAGCACGCCACAGGAGAAGGGAATTATTGTCATGCATGTGGTTTTACATAGATTGTAGAAAAAGGAAAAATTGGTGTATTTTGGTACTTCCATAATGTTCATTATTATCACCACAATTATCGTTATCTTCAAAAAGGTTTTATTAAGGTTATCAATATCATATGTCTGTATTTTTATTTATCATAGAATCAGGTCCTAGATTAGGCTGCTAACCCTAGAAATGCATTAAAAGACCAGGAGTGAAGGGTACTTGCTCCCCCTTACCTACTTGCAGATGTAATATGCTAGCATATGTTCATTTTCACTGGATAACTTCTATTGCAAATCAGGTACATTATTGCTTGAATTTATAACCATGATATAATTTTTACTCAATATTTATTGAAAACAGAATGAGTTGTATAACAAAGATTTCACCACATGGCATGTAGTTCTTTCTCTACAGGAAACAAAAATAGTTTCCAAAGAGGAAAGGGGAAACATCTACACGCACACACACACACACACACACACACACACACACACAAACACACACACACGGAGGTCTAAACAGGGATTACCCATGTTTTCTCCTTTCTGTTCTCCACTTATCACACCAGTAAGTAAATGATAATAAATGCTATGTATTAATATAGCATTTATCATTCAGTATTATTTTGCCATTTTTAAAGTTGAAAAATTAAAATTGTATATATTTATTGTGTACAACATGATGTTTTCAAATATGTGTACATTGTAGAATGGTTAAATAAAGCTACTTAACCAATGCATTACTTCATATACTTCTCTTTTGCGGTAAAATTTACTCCTACCAATTTTCAAGATAGTCCCTTATACTTTATGATCATGTGTTTTCCCCATCGCATATTAAAACGTTATTGAAAATAATTGTGGAGCAAGGATTTTGCTGCAGGTTACATTGTGAGGAATCCTGTGTGGCACTCATAAGAATCTGGATGCTAATGAGGAATTGGTATAAGCTGACACATGTATTCCATTGTTGATCATGCTGACTGCCGTGGCAAAATTTACACTATGACTGTGGCTGATATTTAATTTTCCTACACTGGCTGAATTATAAACAAGAATCCACCACCAAGACTTATAATTCATCACAATTGTTTATTTTCATGGCCAACAGAGTCCATCTGTCTACAAATTCTTTTATAAACATTTCTTTAAAAATAGAAATGCTTATGAAAATGAGCATATACACTCTAAGTATTTGGAAGTGTAACACTAATTTGTACATAGCAATTAAAAATTTTGAAGATAATTTATTTGTTTAGCACGTTATGGTTTCTAAAGTACCTTAACTTTAATTTTCTCAATTGATTCTCACAAAAAGCCAGTAAAATGCTATTTTTTCATTTTAGAAATAAGGCAAGTCAGGTGCAGTGGCTCACACTTGTAAGCCCAGCACTTTGGGAGGCTGAGGCCAGGGGAGCAGTTGAGGCCAGGAATTTGAGACCAGCCTGAGCAACACAGAAAGACCCGGTCCCAAAAAATAAAAAGAAAAAAAGAAAAAAAAATAGCCAGGTGTGATGGTGCATGCCTGTAGTCCCAAGTACTTGAAAGGCTGAAAGATAGGATTATTTGAGCCCAGGAATCTGAGGCTGCTGTGAGCTAGGATGGGGCCACTGCACTCCAGCCAGGATGGCCAAGTGAGACTGTCTTTAAAGGACAAGAAAAGAAAAAAAAAAAAAAAAAAGAGGCATCTTAGGTACAAGAGATTATGTCAGTCACTCATAATTAGGCTTACATATGGTAGAGTTTAAAATCAAGCAGTTTTGTAATCTAAAACCATAATCTGCCCAATTCATTTTCCTCCAAAAAATCACAATATTAAGAACTTGTAGATGATGCAAATGAGAATGGCAGTAACTGAGAAGAGGACTGTAGGTAGCCTGAGGGTTATTTTTTTTAATATGAAGGTAAGGTGGAAGGAGGTTTTATATCTTTAAAATGGATACTGTGGGACTAATAGTCAAATGTGAATATCCTTTTGCCATTGAACAAGAAAGAATGTCTTTAAATTATTGGAAGGTGGCTTCTGAATAAATAGTATAAATGTTCTTCAATATGGTTAAAAGACCCTGGAATTCATTGTGCAGAAAGAATATTGTTTTATATTTTAAGATTTTTCAGAAATGTGTAAATATCCATTTGGAAGTCTAGATGAAGTGCAGTTTGCCCAGATGTTAGACATGATTCGAATAATTCTTTTTCCCCAGTGGTATATATAACAGTGGTAGTACATGAACACTGTGCAGGAGGTACACAGTGTGTTCTTAGCAGTCACTAAAGCATTCACAAAGTCACTATTGCCATATCAATGTCTTAGAAAAAGTGCACTTTCTGTTTTTATCGAGATTCATGTCAAAGACTTTAGGATTTTACTGCTGCCAATTTATTTTCCTTTAATGGACAATCATACTTTGCATTAATAGAGTTGTTAAAAACAGACAATAACTAATGTGCTAAGATCATTGTCTGCAAGACCATCCCTTCCAGCAGCTTGAGCCGTTTATAGTGATCCCAATATTCCTGTCTCTAACTGCCAGGGGAAACCTAAGTAGAAAGAAAAAGTTCAGGGGGATGTCCTTTGTAATATCTTGTGAAGGTGAAGAAGCAAGCTTCAAGATCAATTCCAGCTCTGAATTCACACCACTTCCTGAAATGAAACACAAATGTGGTAAGCGAGAAATGTTGAATAGTGCCACCACTGAGGTTAGTCTTCAGACCAAATAAACATCTCCATTTTTATGTGCCTCATAACTACTTTTCAGGACCCAACCATAGATAAGTTGTAATTCAAAGAAAAATTCAGATAAGGGCAAATTGGTAACCTTTATGTGTTAAACAGAGTAGTGTTCATTCAAAAGAATTTGTGGTTTGAAAAACACCCTTTCCTTTTAAATGCATTCAGTTTTTTAGTTATTTTTTATCAGACATTCCTCTCCAAAACAGAACTATAATATAATATCCAGAGGTCAATGTTTGTGAACATAGATTCCTCTGTACAATTTCTCTTTATGACCTTACCCATGACATCATTACCTTAACTTCAAACTTTAAAATTCAGTTACATCTATTTGCTCTATATTGGTGGAAATGCTTATATATACTTTCAAGTATAGTTCTAGTACTTTCATTAATTATTTAACTAATTATATATATTTTTAGAGACAAGGTCTTGCTCTGTCACCCAGGCTGGAGTACAGTGACACAATCCTGGCTCACTGCAACCTCAGTCTCCTGGGCACAAGAGATCCTGCTACATCAGCCTCCCAAGTAGCTGGTACTACAGGCATGCACCACCACACCCAATTAACTTTTTAAAAATTATTTTTTGTAGAGATGAGGTCTCATAACATTCCACAGGCTGGTCTTGAACTCCTGGACTCAAGGGATTCTCCTGCCTTGGCCTCCCAAAGTGCTGGAATTACAGACATGATCCACAGTGCAAGGCCCCTAGTACTTTTAACCTGTTAGTTACTTTATACCTCTAAGTGCAAATTTTAATATATTCAAATGTAATCTCTTACAGGACATCCTACATGTTATTAAACCTTAGATGATAATGATAGTAAAATTCTTCTTTTGGCTTTCTTTATTTCACAGGATTATACACTCACCATGTATTTCCAGCAGTCTTGGAAAGACAAAAGGCTTTCTTATTCTGGAATCCCACTAAACCTCACCCTAGACAATAGGGTAGCTGACCAACTCTGGGTACCAGACACCTACTTTCTGAATGACAAGAAATCATTTGTGCATGGGGTCACAGTGAAAAATCGAATGATTCGACTGCATCCTGATGGAACAGTTCTCTATGGACTCCGGTAAATGACTTTATATTGCATGTTTTAAAGTTGTTGTTTCTTTGTTTCATTTTCAAGTTTTGGAAGTGGGCAAAGTGAAGAGAAGCAAGAATATATAGATGAATATATAAATGGGGTGTCATATACTTATGAAGGTCTATTACTAACCCTCATGTAGTTAAGGGCTTATTACAAATTATAGGCAATACATCAAAATTACCTACCAGTTTTACGACAGAAATATCTGAACTGTAAACTGTTATTATAGGATATGTAAAGTGGTGGCTGTTTATTCTTTGTTGTCACCTTTAGTGATTCTTTTGAGAAACAGATGAAACCTGTATATTCACAATATCTCAAATTTTCCTGTTATTTCAGAGTGTTCATAAGCCCCTTGAAATCCTTCCATGTACCATGAATACTAAGCTGAAACTCCAGTTACGGGTCAAAATATAACAATTAATGTCTTTAAATTCACTAATGCCCCAAAACAATATACAAGTGAAAACAATACATATCTGTGATGAAATTTCTAGTGGTTGGTTATTTAGTTGATAGTTTTGGTCTTCATTTGCACAGTAAAATAATATCAGTTGTTCTTGGCAAAATGATCTTTGAAATTTGATAGCTTTGGTCTTCATTTGCACAGTAAAATGACGTTGTTGTTCTTGGTAAAACAATCTTTGAAATTTTTCCACTCTTTCTGTACCCCAAGGACTTTCAACTTCAGTTAAAAATCTCTGAGTTAAAAGTCTTTGGGAGAAATGGTAAAATAAATTAACAGTTCCCTTGAGTCTATTGGTAGCTACAACAAAAAGACTACTAATCCAAGATTGGTGGTTAATTATTAGTTATGGTTCATATACTATAAATCAATTGTAATTTTTCTGTTACCAGTGTAACTTCCATCAGACATGCCCAATGTGTAAAGGGATGAGTTACCCTTCTAAATTATCCTGGGAGAGTAAATTCATGACTCAATTTAATAGGCTAATCAACCATGACATGTGTAAGTATATGGATTAGTAAAGAATATATAAAAAGTTGATTGATTGAAAAAAAAGAGCAACTAGATTTTTTTTTTGGCAAGAAAGAATGTGGCTTACATTGTCAGATTACAGAATCTCACTTCATGATTTTCCCAAATTACTACCAGCATCTACCAATGGGAATAATCCAAAGGAAGGAAAATATTTGAGAATCATGAAGTTGAATACATTTCATTTTACAACTGGGAAGACTGAGACAGAAAAGGGAGAAGTACCTTATATAAGGGAATAATAAGGTAATGCCAGAACTGGGACTAAAATCCATGTATCCTGATTCCCATGCCTGTGCTTTTCCACTCCATTGCCATTCAAGTGCACTTAAAAGTCAACTCCTATTTCCAAGTTGTACACCACTTTAATCCCTTCGGAGCAAACCCAGTTCTTTGTAGTTTGTTGTCTAGCAAACAGACAATGACCTTTCCAAAGAGAAACACAAACCATTCATCTATTATCTGTGCCCTGCTCTTTTTATGGCACCAATTTTCTCTGTAAGAGCCTCACACTAGTTCTCATAACTTCCCTTTCTCTTCCTCTGTCTTTCCCACTTCCTCTTCCCTCACAGATTTGGTTTTCCTTTCCCTAGAAGTTATCAATATCCTGGAAAGGTCATAAGGTATAGCAGAGAAAGTATGACATCTAAAGTCAGGGGACTGAGATTGGGCATAAACTCCACAATTTTCTGACTTCTTGACCTTGAATAAATTATGTAAACTTGTTAAGACTTAGTTTTTCAGTTGTAGAGTAACAGGCTAATACTCCCTTACTCATTACTGGGACAATCTTATGAACTAATCAATATGAGAATACATAATAAGTCCTAAATTGTATTTCTCTAAAGTAGTTGTGCCTTATATAGCTTTATTAGGCACTGGACAAACTGCATACCGAGGGTGGTTTTCTAACTCCCAGGGGTATCAGTGATTAAAATAGCGATAAAGTTGTTCAGTTAAAAATATACTCATTGAGTGCCTATTATGTGCCACACACTCACTATTTTGGCCCTAAGAATAACTTTCCAGAAGCTGAGTAGAAATTTTTCAGTGGACATAGAGCTGAAAACAATAGATACTGCGGACTCCAAGACTGGGGAGAAGGGGAGTGTGGCAAGTGTTGAAAAACCACCTATTGAGTGCTATATTCATGATTTGGGTGATGGATTTAATAGAAGCCCAAACCCCAGCATCATGCAATATAGTCATGTTACAAACCTGCACATGTACCTCCTGAATCTAAAATTTAAAAGGAAAAAGGAAAAAAGAAATTTGTCAGTGGAATGCACTTGGGACTTTGAGTCAAGAGACTTATGGCCTAACCAGCTGGTACCCTTCAGTAAGCCATTTCACCTCCCTGGGCTTCAGATCCACCAACCTTAAAAAAAGTGATTGGATGAAACTATTCCTAAATTTCATACTGTATTAGTCTGTTTTCATATTGCTATAAAGATGCTACCCAAGACTAGGTAATTTACAAACAAGAGAGGTTCAATTGACTCGCACTTCTGCCTGGCTGGGGAGGTATCAGGAAACTTACAATCATTGCAGAAGAGGAAGCAGACACGTCTTACATGGTGGCGGGTGAGAGAGAGAATACCAAAGGGGAGGAACCCCATCCTTACCGAAAAAACAATTCTCATGAGAATTCACTCACTATCACAAGAACATCATGGGGAAATCACCCCCATCATCCTGTCACCTCCCACTGGGCCGTCCCTTGACACTTGGGGACTACAATTTGGATTACAATTCAAGATGAGATTTGGGTAGGGGACACAGAGCCAAACTATATCACCTACTAAACCTAAATTCCATTGCTTTGTGATCCTATATATTAGGGCATATTCATTTTAATTTCCCTGATGTAACATTTCCTAATCTAAGAAATGACAGTCTGCATTTTTCTAGGTAAGAGCCTTTTAAAGAATATCTGTTATTGGTCACCTCCTAAGCACACATACTGGAATATCCTTATCATATAACATATTGGAATATTTATAGCTGTATTTATTTTAGGCATGAGTAATTAAGAGAATCAAACTTCTTACCTTAATCCTTTCCATCAGTCCAACTCATAGTCATCATGAATGGGTCCATATATTAATGAGTAGGTTTTAGCAATCATGGGATCAATGAGATTTTCTGAATGCACTGGAAAGCCTTTGGCTAGGTATTCCATAATCATAACAGAAAACAGATTTTAAAGAAAATCAATTTTTTGCTATATTCAAACTCTCAATATGAGATACTATAACTTATATGAAGCCAGAAGAATAGAGTCAGTTGTCTATTTTTGTGAACTATGTCAAATCAGATTTTTCACCAAAGGAATGGCACATAGTCCTGTAAACACCCTGAAATAATAGAATGGTGTCTGGTGAGGGATTGGCACTTCTAGAGGAACCAGGCTACTATGCAACAGATATTCGGCCCTTGGGAGAGACTTCATTCCTTGTGCCTCTTGCCCTTGGGTCACCCTCCTGTGACAAAATGCATTACACAAAAGAGTAACCCAGTAACCTCTATTACTTCCTCTTCCATTTAGGTGGAGAATCTAAATAAAAAATGTCCATGATGTGCTGTAAGTTGTGTTAGGAGACCAGAACTTTAGTCCATGTTCCATGAGCCATTTAACTTGGTCGTCTCAGAACACATGATGTCATTTCCTTTCTTACTCAAAAGCAGAGACGATACAGTATCAGCTCCCTCTATGTCACTTAAAATTCTCCTGTTTTTCCTCCCTTTCTTCCACTTAACTTTAAGGAGGATTTTTCTCTTTTCTCTGAGCCTAATCTCTTCATGTCTGCATGTAATCTTTTTGGTGCACACTCTTTACAGACTTTGCTCCCCCATTTTACCTACCTCTTCAGCCCTTCCTCTCTGTTGACTCCTTCTCTTCAGTTTCTGCTTTGAGCAGCAGTTTTCTCACAGCTTTGGTTTCCTCTACTGCCTCACTATACGTTACTCCTCTATCTCCAACAACATGGTTCCCATCCATAGTACTTTCCCAAAACAGCTCTGCCAAAAATTACCAAAACCATCACTGGTTCTCAATATTAAAGAATCTTAAAGAATCTTGACTTGTCCGAATGCTGTAAGAGTAATGACTGACTCTGACTTCAGGACTTCCAAGACCCAGCACAATTTTGAAATTATTCTTGCTCTTCTGTTTTTTGTTATTTCATTATTGACTCCTCTTTTGCCACTAATTGAAAACTCTAAGGATTCTTCAAGATTTGATCAGTTTATTGAGTTTAACAGCTTTAAATATCTAAATTCCCAAACGATCAAGTTTCAAAAATTTTCAATTGCTCACTGAGCATCTGTATTTGGATTGCCTGCCAGCTCCTCCTCACATGACCCCTAGTTCATATCATTTGATTCTCAAAACTGGGCCATCCTCCTTTCCCAAGTGTTAATGAAATTACCATCATCCTATTCAATAGACATAAACTTGAAGGTAACTGTAATTCCACATCTCTTTTGTCACTGAGATTTAATCTGTTGCTTCTATTCCACTCTATCTCAATCTCCTTCTCTATTTTCAAATCACTTCTACCACCTAAGTTAACATCCTCACTATCTGTCACTTCCTGGCCCATTTCCTATCTCAATTTTTCTCATTACTGCCATCTTACTTCTCCTACAAAAAAAAAAAAAAAATAAGTTTCCTCTTTCAGAAATCTAAGACCCTCTGCTTATTTCTGTAAACATATCTGAGGCATTTCAAGCTTCAGTATGTTTCAAATACTTTATCCCATAAATATTTCATGGAATATACAGCTGACTCTGGAATAACATGGATTGAACTGCGTAAGTCCATTTACTGGAGGATTTTTTCTCAATAAAATTTACACCGAATGTGCCTGCCTCTCCCTCCTCCCTTTCCACCTCCTCCCTGTCATCTACTTCTGCCACCCCTGAGACAGCAAGAAGGACCCTTCTTTTCCCTCCTCTTCCTCAGCCTACTCAATGTGAA